CCCTAGTATATCAGATATTGTCTCCATCCATGAAGAAATTTCGGTCTGAAGAGATAAAGATAACGAAATACATTATAACAGAAATGGATCTTTAAGGTTTTGTTCTTTATATATATATATATATATATATATATATATATATATATATATGTGTGTGTGTGTGTGTGTGTGTGTGTGTATATATATATATATATATATATATATATATATATATAAGTGTTTATTGCAGTCAACACCCAGTATCGTCAGTCTGTTTCATGCTTAAACGCAACCTTCAGACCAAACATATGTAAGACATTCTCTTCAATCATTCGTCACATTTATCATGCAATTAAAATACACTAAGATACCCAATACACATACGATGTCATTGCATGAAGTAAAAACAATCAAAGATACGCCATGATTTAAACGCAAAGATTTAAAAGCCATGATTTAAACATATGACGCTCACATAAAAGTACATGCATAAACACACGTAGGTAATAACAGCATAAATAAAACACGTGCCGTTATCAAAACCAATGAAAACAAAGCAACTTATAATTTCAAAATCGAAGCAAGTCTTAACAATATTACTTCCCAAATTTTGTGTTAAAGCTGAATAAGTAACGAATTATATTCAATTTATATAAAATGTTCTAGTTGACTTAATCATATTTATGATCAACTGGAACACGCTAAGGAATACGTTATGGTCAACTGGAACACGTTCAAGAATAGACTTTGATCAGCTGAAACACGCTCAGGTATACATTTTAATAAACTGTAACACTGTCAGTAACAAACTTTGATCAATTGGAATACGGTCAGAAATGCCCTTTCGTTAACTGGAACCAGGTATAGACTTTGATTAACTGGAATACGCTCAGGAATAGAATTTGGTCATCTGGAACACATTGAGGTATACATTTTGATCAATTGAAGCACAGTCAGGAATAGTCAGGAATACACTTTGATAACCTGGAACACAGCCATGAATACACTTTGGTCAACAGGAACAAGACCGTCAATACACTTTGATCATCTGGAACATAGTCAGGAATACACTTCGAAAAACTGGAACATGTTCAGCAATACACTTTCATCAACTGGAACACTTTGATGATAGAATTACTGGGGGACCTTGAAAATAACATAAAACGACATACAATAATTACTGTGGAAAGTATTTAATAAAAATACAAGCATAATGAAAAACGATTTGACGTTATGTCTAAAATGTCAAGTGTATACTGAATGCCAGTTTATGATGACGGGCGCACAATATGTAAGGTCTTATTCCACGTTCTGTTAAAACCCCGGTTTCCGTAAGATCACCAAAGTTAAGCGGTCCCAAGACTGGTCAATACATGGATGGGTGACCATTTGAGAATATTATATGTCGTAAGCTTGGGTTTACAGTTGGTGTGATGGATGATCGTACTGAATTGTTTACAGTTAGACGTATTTTTAGATTGTAAGAATTTATACTGTTTTGCAGAGAATAATGGTTTAATATCTGTCTATATTTCTGAGATGAGGTATTATGTGCACTATTTACATTATTCGGACTATTGTCCTCATCTTTGTCGCCATATTTATTACAACGTTTCGGCCTTCTTCAGTTGATGTGAATGTCGAACTGAACCCTTTATTTCGCTCACTGGGGTAGATTGTTCTAGTTCCATGTGCCATGGATCTCAGTTTTCTCCTGTTAAACCTCCTCTCCAAGTTCTCCACTGCCTTAATCGGGTATTGAACTCACACTCTTTGGGTCCTGTCACTGGATCTAACTAACGCCTTTATCCACTATGCCATGTGTCCTTGAGGACATCTGTGTAGTATGAATTTCTGGGTATTATAAACTGAAGACGACCGGAGTGTACAACGGCCGAAACATTGTAATAAATATGGCGATAAAGATGAGGACAATAGTCCGAATAATGTAAATAATGTAAATAATGTTTTAGTCATACAAGTCTTACTAATTAACCCATAACTGGGGCGGGGGATAAAAAAAGTGGACTTATACCTTTCCTAACAGTATACGCGCGTCAGTGAATATAAAGAAAACAGCTTGAATTGGAACTAGCCTCTCGGATTAACAATTCCGAGACATTCCATTGCTTAACTTCCGTGATTGTACGGGTACCGATGTTTCAACGTGATATGGCCGTAAGCCCAGGACATCGAGGATTGGACACCTTCAGCCCAGATACGGCAAGCAAGATAAGGAGCCGACCAGCATCTTTAGTGATGGTATGAATATACGATTGTGTGAAGAAGACTATAAGTTTAAGCTCTTCAAGTCGATGGTCAACCGTTATCTAATTCGAACCTTTTACACCCCAACCCATTCCGCCTTGCGGTCTTACACCATCTTCATTCAGTAAACGATTACCTTGAGATTCTCTTGGGCCTTTTTTATGTGGACAACTTCATCTATATTGTCTGATTAAACTATAGTCGGCTACTTACTCACAAGTGCTGCATCTAAAATCGCTCGATATCTTTAGATGGATAGCTTTCACCATTTCAATAATAATTATAATAAAAAAATCAATCAAAAGAAAAACTTTGCTTTTTATTCTTAGAGATTTATTTGGATTCTTCTTTTGGTCTGTTATTGACTTGCAGTTTTCAGAAATTCTCTGCGGGGCAATTATTCTGATTATTGGTAGAGACATGGTGCGTAGCCAGTCAGAATCTCTTAAATTTTCTTTTAAGTATGGCAACTGCCTATCTTCCTCCCCAAAATGGCGACGTCTCAACCACATCAGATCACGAGTGTTTTAGCAGTATTTGTTCAACGACATATACAGTCAACAATGAAATTTTCCCTACACCTATCAATTTTGAATATTTTAATTCATTTCTCAGAATATAATGCCTAAATAGTGCCAGGAATTTTATATGTTACTAAGCACAGAAAAAAGAATTAAAAAAAACTCAATTTTCAGAACAATAAGTTAAATACAAAAAAATAAAAATACAGGCGAATTATGCAAAATAGAAGACAAAATTATTTCTACAGTAGAAAAAATCGTTTTAAATTGATTCGTGTAAGTATAAGTAATTTCTAAATTATTTTATCGATGAAGATTTCTAGACTATTTATTCAGTAGAATATCTGTGACAATTCCAGCGAAGAACATCACGTGGTGCATAGAATGTAACCAGTGCTATTCTTACGTTAACATCACGATGGGGAAGACAAAGGATCTTAGTTGTGACTTGAGACAGAGAATTATTAACTTCCACGTTGGGAAATAGTTATAGTGCTATTTCAAACCGGATAGCTATCCCTAGAGATACAGCACAGTCTGTTATAAAGAAGTTTAAACAGTTTGGCACGACAGAGAATTTGCCTTGGCATCAAAGATAACCCCAATTGTCACCGAGAACTGCACGAAAACTGTGTCGCGAGTTTAATATAAACCTAAATGTTGTTTTTAAAGACATCGCCAAAAGTTTGGATACCATGGTTATCAGCGTAAGTGTTCGCACAATACAAAGTTGTTTAAATAGAAATGAGTTGTATAGAAACTGACCACGACGTACCCCACTTTAGGAACCAAGGTCACATTGTTGCTCAATTTAATTTTGCCAAAACGTTATCGGATAAAGAAAATTGCTTTTGGGAAAAGTACTATGGAGTGATGAAACAAAAATTGAGCTTTTTGGACGTAATGTTGTACAGAAAATTTGGAACAAAAAAAGGTGAGACCCCCCCCCCAGAACATAGTGGCAACATTAGAAGATGGAGGCGACACGATGATGATTTATGGTTGTTTTAGCTCAAGGGGGACTGGATAATTAATTGCAATAAGAGGAATAATGACATCGGCGGACAACATATCCAAATTTTGGATGAAAATCTACAATTATCAGCGCAAGATTTCTAGCAAGATAACGATCCCAAACATACGTCTAAATTAGCGATTGCGTGGCTTCAGAAAAAGAAAAATACAGTTCTGCCATGTCCTTCAATGAGTCCTGACTTGAATCCAATTGAAAATCTATGGCAAGAATTGAAAGTTCGGATAAATCATGGGCCACCAAAAAAAAAAAAAAAAAAACTTCAGGAATTAGAACGTGTAACCATTGAAGAATGAAAGAAAATCCCAGGAAAGAGTTGTTCAAATCTCATCAAATACTTTAGAAAATGATTGATTATAAATTGGGGAGGCCATGCTACTGATTTTTAATATTGTGAAAATTGTTAATTTTTTATATTTTCCATAATGTGTGAATAATTTTGTTTTTTTCTGTTTTGCATAATTCGCCTGTTATATTTGTTGTTTTTATATCCTGTTATTCTGAAAGTTAAGTTTCATATTCCCTTTTTTGTACTTATTAACATATACAAAACCTGGCAGCACACGGGCATTAGATTCTGAGAAATGGATAAAAATATTCAAAATTGATGGCTGTAGGAATAATTTCGTCGTTGACTGTATGTCGACACCTCATTTGAATATCAGAACAGTTATAACTTGTTTGTACTATAAGCCTCTGTATGTATGCACATGTATATTCATATATGAATGTATAGATGAGTAGCCGAGTAGTTAAATGTTTGCTTTCAGGCTATAAGTCCCGGGTTTGAATTTCATTATGGTCGATTTGTCAGAGAGGCGTCTTTTAGATAATATTGCCCGAAAGAGCCAATCCCTGCACATGGTACCTTTGAAAAACGCGTGAAAACCATGCCACGGTTTAACCTAATGTCTTTGGTTGACTGATTTGATTTTGTTTTTTAATGCTTAGCGACCTTTTGTAGCTTATTTAAAACCACTAAATATATTTAGATTTAAGATTTTTTAGATAATAATGATTTTATGATACAAGTCCTACTAATTAACCCATAGCTGGGAGATAGAAGATGTGGATTCATACCTTTCCCCAAAGTATTGGCGTGTAAGTGAATGTAACAAACCCGACTTGAATTCGAACTTACCTCTCCGATTTCTAATTCCGAGCCGTTATCCATTACACCATCCGTACATACACGCTCACGACTATAGGTATTCCCAAGCGATCACCCATCTCGGTACTGACCAGACACGACGTTGCTCAACTTCAGTGATCTTACGAGAACAGGTGTTTCAAGGTGATTTGACCGTAAGACTTGGGATGAAATTGTATTGATGGAACTTTTCGGAAACCTTCGACGGTTGTGCTAGCATGAAGTCACAAGTCATCGTGACCGAGGATTTTTATCGTAGTGCCTTTTTTAAAAAAAAATGATCACGCTACGTTACACGCTCTCTCCCAGAAACTTTAAGGCCCGTTCAGCATCGTGGCAATAAAACACAGGCAGGCTCTGTGTCTTGAGCAGGAATCTGTGATATGAATTTGCGAGCTACCATTGGCAGACTGGCGTAATCGGATGCATGTAGTAGCTGGCCTTTATATATATGCACGGGTACACGGCAAACCATCGATCGAGCTAGGCCCTTTATCTTTCATTAAGGTATCCAAATAAAAGGAAAACTCACATGTAACCCTGAATCTTGAAAGGATTCAATGGCGACGACTGGTCATTTTTTTATATGCTGTTCTTGTTTTATGAGTGGGATTGACGCAGTGCAATATCTTTCTCAACTTTAAAACTTTCATGCATTATCTTGATATCGGATGATATCAAGCAAAGATTGTACATCATACAATAAAGTATGATGTACAATCTTTGCTTGATATCGCAAGATCTCTTTCATAACATGCGCAGCCATTTCTTGATATCATGAGATATTTATCGTAAGATGAAAATTCATTGCTTTATATTGTAACATAATTATCGTAAGATGCAGTCATTGCTTGATATCATAAGATCTTTATCGCAAGAGGTACAATCTTTGCTTGATACCGAAACACCTTTATCGTAAAATGCAGTTATTGATTGATAATATAAGATCTTTATCATAAGATGTACAATCCTTGCTTGATATCCTAAGATCTTTATCGTAAGATGTAAAGTCATTGCTTGATGTCGTAAAATATTTATCGTAAAATGCAAAGTCATTGCTTGATGTCGTAAAATATTTATCGTAAAATGCAAAGTCATTGCTTGATGTCGTAAAATATTTATCTTAAAATGCAAAGTCATTGCTTGATATCGTAATATCTTTATCGTAAAATGCAGTTATTGATTGATAATATAAGATCTTTATCGTAAGATGTATAATCTTTGCTTGATATTATAAGATCTTTCTCGTAAGATGTACAATCTTTGCTTGATATCGTAAGATCTTTATCGCAAGATGTAAATTAATTGCTTGATGTCGTAACATCTTTATCGCAAGATACAGTTATTGCTTGATATTGTAAGATCTTTCTCGTAAGATGTACAAACTGTGTTTGATATTAAAAGATCTTTATCGTAAGATGCAATGTCATTGTTTGATATCGTAAGATATTTATCGTAAGATGTATAATCATTGTTTGATATCGTAAGATCTAGAATGCTGAATGGATGGTTGTAGCAGAAAAAGGTATTGATATCTAATGAGGCGTTGTGAAATTGTTTTTTTTTTAAAATTTGCCCAGGTTATAACGTCATATCTGCTCCAAGCTCAACTCAGACATACAATTATATATTGTCGTCATACTCGACAACAAGTTAGCAGCCATCATTACCATCACTATATATGTATGTGTGTATAGACGTGTTGCCCCGTATTTAGGACTTTAATGAACCTACCACGAGACATATGTTCGAATCGCACTATTGTTGATTAATCTAATAGGTGATATTTTGATAATATCGGTCTGGGAAGAAGTTCCAAGTATTTTCTACTGTTGCGAAGTGTTTGGACTGAAATTGGGTAGAGGAAAATCTTAGGAAAGGCTTCGATCTTTGTGCTAACACGATGCGACAAGTCATCGTGACCGAGTGTTTGAGCGTACTGGACTTCTTCAACTAATAATCACGCTGGATTATGTTTTAACATAATCTGTCACTAGGGTTAATTGCGAGTGATGATCAGATAATTTCTACATGGATTAGCCAGCAGTTAAGTGAATTCAGAAAATAAGCAATTAAAGATTATGCCTGTTGTAAGTTATCGTTCACAGATATAAACCTTGAAATTTTCGATAGGGTTAATCATATTTAGGCAAAGGTCATGAACTGGCTTCGAATTTTCTCTCTCTGATTGATTAGTTGCGTGGATTCTTCTTTTTTTTCAATCTTACTGAATTTTCGATGAATATTTTTAAATATATTATTTTTAAAGATTTAAATTTAAATTAATTATTCAAATTAATTTTGATTATTTTTTTTTAGATGAAAAAACGAAAATGAAACCGAAATTTTCATGGCGATGTTTCTTTTTTTTTCTGCGATACAGGTAAGCAGCAAAAGAAACTATATATTAAACCAGCTTTTCAACGTCACATGAATAGTTTAATTTAATGATTTACCGTGGACAGAGATTTAATTTTAGAAAGCACTAACAGCATGGCCCGGCGTTGCCCGTGCTTGATTAAAAAAATCGTACGACTCATACAGCAATCGCTATCACTTGACTTAAAATATTTTTGCCCTTCCTTGCCTCTAAAGGAGTGCCCTTTGCCGTGCTGATGTTGCTACATGCTTTACTTCTTGCCTATCTCACACTGTGAATTTTTTCTAAGCTCTATACTAAACATTAAATCTGTTATGAAAAAAGAACTAAACAAAATGAACACAAAACAATCAGCTTTAAAAAATGGACTTGTAACTGGAAAAACCGAATGAAAAAAGATTGTTAACAACAAATACTTTTTCACACCCAACCCAGTTCTGTGGAATCAGAATCAACATTGAGTTTAAGCAAGCAAATGAGCCAATTGGAGTAAAGTGCTATGCAGATTTAAATTTTTCCCACTTGTGACGAATGCAGCTATCTGTTTTTTTTTTTGCATGCTAGCATGCTAGTTAATATTCGTGTCAGTCAGCTGTTGTCTCTCACGCTGGCCAATAGAATCTTCTTGCCTGTTCGTAGCAGCCAGCTATAGGCTCTCACTCTGGCCAGTAGAAAATGGCAGCAAACTACATGAAAACTGACGTAGAAGCATGAAAAAATCGATTATTTCCACTATCGATGAGAGTTGGGAAATGCCACGTCGGTCTTGTCCTTTCCACTAACTTGGAGCATGTGCATGTAAATGTTAGTGCAAATCCGTCGAAAATTGAGGCCGTGCATTCACACACACACACACACACACACACACACACATATATCCTGCCTTTTATAGATAGAGATACGTATATATATATATATATATATATATATATATATATATATATATATATATATATATATATATATATATATATATATTTATTTGCTTCAAAGCCTCCCTGTCGGTTCTTGATTGGACCTTCGGTTTGTTCAGGAATTTGAGAGTCCCTAAGTCTTTCCATATTCTAATATTCTAAGCATTGGAAACTCTCCTGGCTGCCGTTTTGATCTGGGTTTTGCACGAGTTTGATCTGGGTTTTTCCTCGATGGAGCCTTGACTCTTCTGATTGCAATCTGGTCCTCTAATACATACATATATATATATATATATATATATATATATATATATATATATATATGCAATCTGGTCCTCTGAAATATATATGTATGTATGTATGTAGCTATATATATATATATATATATATATATATATATATATATATATATATATATATATATATATTAGTATGTGTGTGTATGTGTGTGCATGTATTTCTTTATGTATATGTATGTATTGTGCATCGGTATGTTTTTGGGGCATAATGCTAAAAAAAATGCCATTGTAGAATTGATCCGAACGTGGCTTGACAGCTGTGCCCTGGCACACCTTTGCTTATTGATTGAATCAAGTGCAAAACAAATGAACACTCGAGAACAATAGTGTTTACTTGGAGCTGAACAGAATTGAAAGCATTTATCAATAAGAATCAATGATTTTTTCCCCCTGTTTCATCGTTCACCCTTCATCTCCACCATCAGTTGCTTCTATCCATCGATCCAGTTAACAACAATCAAAACAAGGGAGACAATATTCAAATGTTACCACATTTTGATATAGACCATTTTTTAAACTTTGTTATCAACTAGATGCTTGCAACTTGAAAGCTGTGTGTTCGGCGAATATCAAATTATTTCATGAAGAAATCCGAACAATACGTTATAGAAGATTGATATTTCTCTTTTTCTTTTTTTTGTTTTTTTTTGTTTCCTGTTTTCTCTCAAGTTGATCAGCTGTTCGTTGCCAAGGTTTTACTTTAGTAATTTTATACGTTTCTCACACTTTTATCTTCATCTTGCTTCTTTCTTTTTTTTAATAGTACAACCATACAACATGAAATTAGTTCTCTTCCTGTCCGTAGACATTACGGTTTTCTCCTTCTTTTTTGATGATCCGCCATCAAGACACATATAGAGTTCATCTTCTACAGGATTCTTCTTTCTGCTACTTGAAGTTACGTGTTACGCGTCTGTCTGAATCTTTAGACGTCACAAGGAACGCTATATTCAATTCTATATTAGAATTGTTTTTTGAGAGTCCGTAACATGGTTAATTGTCAGGCCATATAAGTTGTGTTTTTGCTCGACTATTTACATATACAGGTCAGTGATGCATTGTGGGTAGTCTATTGCATTTTTGTAATGAGCATTTTGGTGAGCTGCAACTGTTACATTTCGAATTATTTTAGGGGCTATTGAGTGGAAATAATAAACAGTTTTGTTTTAATTAACTTATTTAAATTATTATTGATTATTTTATTAGTTAATATTCTACTTACCTGTATTTATCTGGGCGTCCATGGTTCGTTAATTTGCTTATTATTTATTTATATTATTTACTTATTTAAAAGCTCGGATTTATTTATTTTAATTATTTTTGTTTTTATTTTAGTTATTTATTTTTGTTCGTTTATATGTTTATGTCCTTGTGTGTATATTCGTTCCTATATATATATATATATATATATATATATATATATATATATATATATTATTTATTTAAAAAAAAAATTAATAACATAAATCTGTTTTAAAAATCACAACAAAAATAGCCATTTTGTTTCAACACCCTCGGTGTCTTATCAAGTGATGATGTTGAATGTAAAATAAATGATGTTGAATG